TATAGGTACTCATAATTTGTATTTTTTATTATTTTATAATTAAAATTATTATACTATAGTCTATAATTTATTGTTGACAGAATATGAGAATTATATAGGTATRCAATTATTGTGATTTTTTAAGGGCCGTGTAAAGTTGAATTTTAAATGTTTTATCTTCAACGTCGATATATTATATCTATATATATATTCATATYCTATATTCACTGTTGGTTGTATCTATAAAGTTTTAGATTTTAATATACTGAACTTCACATTTATTTTACAATGCTTTTACGATGAAAAATTATTTCTATACAATTTATTTATTTATCTAATTAAATAGAAATACAATCTCCAATCATTTCCTAATATATTTTATTTTGTTTTCGGTTAATAGATTTTTACATTTAATATAAATACATAGCAATAAAATCAATTTAATAATATTTTATTTGTTATGAATTAAGATTAATCTTTGACTTTTGTTCAAAATAAGTATGTTAGTTCTAGAGATTTAAGTCATTAACCSAACATTTGAGCACATATMTATGTAATCAATATGGCTGGGGAAACTTGAAACTATATATTTGGTAGTATTCCAAATGAAAAAAAAAGAATGAAAAAATGTACCTAATACTTAAAGCGTCTGTTCGCACCGAGACTGGCGTCTTATCCGTTATTTATGAACGACAGCACTAAGAAGAAACTGTTTTATTGCTATGACCCCGTTCCATTTCAGGGACTTTTTCCTCTCCTTTCCATACAGGATAGGTTAGTCCTCAAAAGTTCTCYAGGCGGTGGGTCTTTTTCTATTTTGGTGAAGTGAAAATGTAATCGTGTAAAAGCAAATTAATTGAGTTCAAAACTATAACCTTGAAGACTTGGAGGAATATGGTGAAAATATTATTTTCTATTGCACGTTATGAATTTAAATGGATGATTTGTTGTGTAAGCATAATAACTTTAAGTTATCCTAAACATAAAGACGTTATGAATATATCCMAGTATACCGCACAAAAAATATTGTTTACATTCATTTTTAAATGGAGGAATAATGATAATAATGATTTCCTTTAATTACTTAAAAATATACGCGTCGTTCTAGAACTGAATGTGCCTACTAACTACATAATATAAAAATTAAATATAAATTARTACCTACCTATATATTAAGCTTTTATTTAAGTATATTTATTTTACTTGGAAAAATATACGCAACTTTTTTTTTATAAAAATAAATTTAATTTTTATATTATTGTAAAGCCTATAAAACATGGCAATAATTCGAATTTTTTTTTATACTATTATTTTCAATAACACAGTTATTTTGTTGAGATGTTGTGGAAAATTGCACGATATTAAATATAGATACCTACTCGAGAATATTTTACATATCGTGGTTTTGAAGTTAAATTGAACTTTTAAGTCATATATTATATCATCTGAATTACTGAAAGGAATAATGTTTAATATTTAATATTAAATGCATTCAATGGAAATATACCTGGAAGGATCTC